AGTTATTTAGGAGAACTACCAATACAAAAAAATTTAAAAATCATAGCAGAAAAGAAACAAGGCAGATCTGTTAATCTACAGCCCCACACAGCGTTGATGAAACTCAGTTAAGTAGCATGGAGACGGAGCACTGGGAATTTGACCCTGAGGCTTCCTCACCTTACTCCCCTGGCCTTCAATTCTCTTCTTTCCCAAAGAATAAAGATACAAAGTTGGATAATCTCTAAGGCGTTGTAGGGCCAACCATCTGGAAATAACCCTTTTACAAAATGTTTTCCTAAAAACTCAAAATATCTCTAATCATTGTAGAAAAAATGAGAAAATACAACAAAGCAAATAGGAAAAAAAAAGAATTGAACATTTTACCACTGAAAGTTAAACACTTCAAAGTTTAACACTGTGAGCATTTTGGAGAGTAGTATTTCCAGCTTTCTCTGTCATCATCCACATACACTTTACAAAACAAGGATAATACTATCTATTGACTATGTAATCTTTTTTTTTTTTAAATATAATTTGTTGAGTATATCTAGGTAAGGAGGTTACTGGTGTTGCATTTTATTTTGTCACTGATCAAAGCACTCTATTTGTAATTTAACCCAGAAGATAAGCCTCCGAGCTAGGTTCCATCATCCTCACTTGACTGATGAGAAAACAGAATGAAATGAGGTTAAACTGACGTCCGAAGTCAGACAGCTAGTAAGTGGTACAACCGAATTCCACCCTGGGGACCTGGTTCCAGAGCCCTCAGGGCTTACCTCAAACCATCCTGCCCCACATTTCAGTAACGATCTGAGCCACAGGAAGGGGTAAGCATGTGAAGAGTGTGGGGGTGGGAAGGGAACATAAACAGCAAAGTCTTGCTGAACTGTGGTGAGCTGGGGGCAAGGGGTCAATAGGGTCAGTGGGATAAACATGGGACACATCACATTTGATGTCTATCAGGACTTGAGTCAACCTTCACTGTTCACTCTCTATGACTCACTGTAACCTTTCAGGCTGGAAACAATGAATCACAGTCCGGAACTGCTTAGCTGGAACTTCAAGGGAATAAGCTGAATATTGAGGACATCCAGTTCTTTAAACTACATCTGCACTTTGCAGGGAAAATGACCAGCCATGGTAATTAGTTCACTTCAGGCAATAGACTCTGTTGCCTTGCTTATTCACATTTTGGAGGCAGAAGGAGGATGCAAAATTTTGAGAGAGCTTCAATTAACAAAATGATTGTACAAATTCTATACAACCTAGTATTTATCAGTTTAATATATTGTCGCTAAATACAAGATAATGCAGAATGATAATTTATTGATTTTATTTTCATAGAATAGACTTTAACAAGAATGTCATCTTTATTTTGCAATCTCTTCTTGATTTCTCTTTCCCCTTTTCTCTTATTTCCAGACAAGAGCCAATTAAATAACCTATTTTGTCCTTAGTAATATAGTTCAAGTATCCATTTTATATACTCCAGCCTAAATGGGAAAGATATATTATGAATTTTCACCATGCAACTCTCATGGAAATTAAGAATGAATGGGCATTAATTGCTGAAGAATGAGATCCTTATTCTGCTAATTTTGTGATAAAATATTCTAGTAAAAAACATTTCTCATCTTGATGAAGATATAGTAGACAAGTCAAGCTCTATCTAAAAGCTAAGCAAAAGACAAAGTTGCTGGCAACTTAAGGTGTCCGTGATGATTCTGGAGTTCTTGTGTTCCTGAATTTTTGTTCCTTCTAGCAACTCTGTGCAATGTGTCTCCTGGGCTGTGTCTTAGCGCTTCATCAATATTTCATTACATTTGTGATTTGACACACCTGAATGGATAATAACACCACTGAACAGATATTTTGGCATAAGTGCATTATAAGCAGAGGTCACAGGGATTTATTTTTAAATAATTCTGTACACAATGCCAGTGGAGCCCATCTTTTGAAAAAGGTTCTTCATCCTTAGGTCTGGAGAGATAGCATCAATAGCTTTTGGAAAAAAACAAAAAACAAAAAATGGTCCTTTGCCTACTTTTCTCTTTAAACTGATAAAATTAAAAAAAAATAAACTGATAAAATTTTCAGTTTTATTTAATATAATTCAGCTTATTCCAACATATTAATTTAACACATGTCATCTTGCAAGCACTGTGCTCCCTAGAACAAAGCTGGATGAACTGATGATCTGTGCTTGATCATAATTTCAGCAAGGTGGGGGAAGAAGGCAAGCTGATAAGCATGTGAGTATATCCGATGAGTATTATGATAGAGAGATGGGACAAGAAGCACAAAACAAATAATTTTTTCTGTTGCCAAGAGAGAAGTCATGCTTTTGGCTTTACAAATAATGACTAAAATAATACTTTGGATTTTCCCTTATAAACCTGCTCAGTAAAACCATTTCAGTAAATGGCATTCCCACAAACCCAGTTGTGACACCAGAAACCTATGTGTCATCCCTGACATTCTCTTCCAACGCCTCCCACATCCAGTGCCTCAGCCAGTCCTGGCAGCTTTATCTGCAGACTGTATCCTCAATCCATCCACTTCTCTATTATCCGCTGCTACTCCCTAGTTCAAGTTGCGATCCGTTTCCCAACTGAATTATTGCAACAGTCTTTCAGGTGGACAGCCAGTGTCCACCCTCACTTGTTTGAAGTCCATTTTGCACAGTAGCTAAGCCAACTTTTTAAAAAAACATACATCACTCTCTTGAATAAAATCCTCTTAGGGCTTCTCGTTGCACTGGAGATAAAATCCGGTCTCTTCTCCCTGTTCGACATGATCTGGCTGCTGATTCCTTTCCAACCTCAACTCAAAACACCCTCACCCTGCTCATTGTGCTCCAATCATGCTCACATGCTCTTTTCTTCCTGAGCATGCCAACTGTTCTTTTGTTTTTGTTTATGTTTGTTTTTACCAGTGTTCTCCTGGAGAATATAAGTGCAATGTGACAGGTCCCTATCGTTCTTGTCCACCGGCATCAGAGTAGTGTCTGTCACATAGTAAGTATGAAATAAATACATGTGAAATGCAGGAATAAATAAAGGAATGATTGAAATCTACATTATCTGCTAAAAAATTGCATAGTATGGTGCATGTTGTAAGGATGCTCAGACCCTCTTTGCACAGCTGGTTTGTCCGCAAATGTCCTGTTCTGGGAGGTTCAGATTCACAGCCCCACGTGGGTACAAAGTCCCTTCAGTACAGGAGGGAAGGGGGACATATTTGGAGAGAAATCTGAGTTCCAGGCTTGAATTTGCCAACTTGTCAAGTTTTTCTTGTATAAATTCAGATAAGAGGTGGCATCGTGTAATGAAATGAAATGTAGTGAGTGAGGAGTTAAGATACTAGACTCTGGAATCAAAAGGACATGGGAGCCAAGTGTGAATCTTGGAGCCATTAGTTTTTAGCTAGCTGTGTGGCTTTGGGATTTGTTATTTAACATGTCTGAGCCCCAGTTCATTCATCTATACAAAATACAAGAGGATATTCCTCATACAGTTGCTTGAGGTTTGAATGAAATAATTCTGGTGAAATTCTGAGCCCCCAGCAAACAGCAAGCTCCTAGTAAATGCTTGTTATCAATGTTCTTGTCTGACAGTTTCCTCACCTGTGTAATGAGTCTAGTAATTCCTGCTCATAATGGAAGGTTCCAATGTGCACTTGATGGGAAAGAAATTTATAAAGAACAGAAACATGTAACCCATGACACTTAAATCATGTCAGCCATTCTTAAAAGACTTAATTATGCCTTTGTTTTCTTTTACTCAATAAATATTTATTAAGAAGCATCTATGTTCCAGTCATTGCTTTAAGTGCTGGAGATATACTAGTGATCAAGGCACTGCATGTGTTTCTAAACAGCAAGTTTACAGTTAGGGAGACAGGTTTCACACTGGTAACTGTGATACAGAATGAAGAGTTCTTGGGGGATAGTAATAGGCTTTATTGGACTTTATAGAGAAGGCATCTGATGCAGAATAGTGGAGAGGGGGGTCAGGCAGAGATGACTTCCTGGAGAAAGTGATATACTTGAAGAAAAGGAAGGGACCAGTATAAGTCAGTCAAATGAAAGGCTGAGACTCAGAGAAGGAAAAGCATTTCAAGAAGACGGAAGAGAATACATATAAATACTCAGAGTGGGGAAAAGGTATAGTGGTACTAGATTTTGGTATACAACTCAGTAGGATTATCTTTGAAAAGCACATGGTGAATTACCATACACTGTTATGTCATCTATCTTAGATAATTAAGGTGAAATTCATATATTTTCTTGAAATATTTTTTTACAAAATTGTTGGAAATTAAAACTTATTTCTCAAGTAAGCATTGATATTCCTGTGTTTCACTGTGGTGTGAACTAGGTCATTAGTATCATTAATCCAGAAGTTATTTGAATAATTTAAAACTTCTTTCTGGACACTGAATACTAAATTCCATAGAATTGATTAATGAACCAGGTGTTCAACCTTCCACTTCATTCTGACTGTGTACACATTTTTTTTTTTTTTTTAAAGATTTTATTTATTTGACAGAGAGAGACAGAGCGAGAGAGGGAACACAAGCAGGGGGAGCGGGAGAGGAAGAAACAGGCTTCCCGCGGAGCAGGAAGCCCGATGCGGGGCTCGATCCCAGGACCCTGGGATCATGACCTGAGCCGAAGGCAGATGCTTAATGACTGAGCCACCCAGGCGCCCCCTGTGTACACATTTTAAGTGAAAAAGAACAAGAAATATATTCCTTTGTTATTTATACTTACCTAAATCCACATTCCATTCCTGTTGAGATTAGCAATTAAACTTCTAATTAGTTTTCCAAAATGGATTCATGGGTTTATTTCTTACACAAATGGAGAAAACACAGGTACCAAATGTAAAAAGTACTAAACTTTTCTTACATTTAATTTAGACTATCAGGGTTTGTGTGACAATAATGTAACAATTTTTCATATGCAATACGGGACCACAAAAAACAGAACTAACAAAATCCCTTAGGAAACTCACCATCATTTCTCAGTATTAGTGGTGTGGGTGGCCCCAGGACCTTGTGATTTGTCACTGTATTTGTAACCACGCAGGTATAATTCCCAACATCAGACTTTTCTACTTTGGCAATATATAGATTCCCAGTCTCTTGAGAAACGAAGCGGCGGTTATCCTGATAGGAAGGGTATTCATTGAAGATCCAGGCATAGCTCAGCTCTGAAAGCAAAGGAATCACCATTACAAATATGTCTTCTGGCATTGGAACGCTACTGTATTCATGAAAGAATTGGTCAAGTTAGAAATTCATACTGTTGCCCAATGATCCTTTTTCAGCCTGCTATTAAATATAAATAGGAAGTAATCATAATCTCTTAAGCATTTTACCAGTACTCCTACTGTCAGTCAAGAAGATTTTTATTTCAAGAGAACTAAAAGGTACACTGATAGTTGATTAAAAGAAGTCCAACCTCTTTAAGTCAAGGGAATAAGCATTTATAGTTTACTAAGCATGTGCCAAGCACTATGCAATACTTACTGAGCTAATGCTCAAATTACAGACCCAGAGAGTCTATAATTTTGATATAGTAAGGCTGGAAGCCCCCTGAAAAACTATTTAGATCACTTCTTTCATTTTATAGATAATAATCATTATAGTGCATCACAGTGCCACATACTTGCATAGTACTTTGTGGTTTTCAATGCATTTTACAGTTTTCCATTAACTGAGAAACTTTGGCACAGAGCAACAAAGTAACTAATTCAAACTCTTAGCCCTACTGAGGGACAGAATAATTCCCGAGTCTCAATTTATTCTTCTCCCAAAGCCTCTCACTATCAATGCTAATTCTGACTCTTCTTACTTGTGAGGTTGAACTATTTTTTCCATTATTTGAGTGAGATGGTGGTTTAATATCGCAGCAAATACTTGCTAAACACACACTGACTGACTGGTTGACTGGTCCCAAATGTAAATGTGTATTTAAAAACATTGGCTGAAAAATTCATCAAAAGGAATGAGATCTTGCCATTTGCAACGGGGACGTGGATGGAACTGGAGGGTATTATGTTGAGCGAAATAAGTCAAACAGAGAAAGACATGTATCATATGACCTCACTGATATGAGGAATTCTTAATCGCAGGAAACAAACTGAGGGTTGCTGGAGTGGTGGGGGGGTGGGAGGGAGGGGGTGACTGGGTAATAGACACTGGGGAGGGTATGTGCTCTGGTAAGTGCTGTGAATTGTGCAAGACTGTTGAATCTCAGATCTGTACCTCTGAAACAAATAATGCAATATATGTTAAGGAAAAAAAAGAAGAAGAAGGTAGCGGGAGGGGAAGAATGAAGCGGGGGAAATCGAGGGGTAGACGAACCATGAGAGACGATGGACTCTGAGAAACAAACTGAGGGTTCTAGAGGGGAGGGGGATGGGAAGATGGGTTAGCCTGGTGATGGATATTGAGGAGGGCACATTCTGCATGGAGCACTGGGTGTTATGCACAAACAATGAATCATGGAACACTACATCTAAAACTAATGATGTAATGTATGGGGATTAACATAACAATAAAAAACTAAAAAATAAATAAAAAAATAAAAACATTGGCTGAAAAATTTACCATGTTCATAAGAGAGTATGAAATAGCAGTCTAAGAACAACTTTTTCGCAAATACTTATTCATCCCAGGGTGCCAGTGGGACAAGTGCGAGTGGCAGCCATACCCGAACACGTATGTTTCCAAGTTCTAATTTTTCTGAAGAATTAGGTAAATGCTTTGTGAATGAACATGGGATCCCATGCTTTCAATTTCAGAGAAGAGTCCTAAACACAGTGAGCTTAAATGTTTTGCTGCAGTGAACTACGATGCCCCAAGGAAATCAAACTTCTTCAGCTCCAGGCATTCCATGATTCCTCTCTTTAAATTGTGACCTCCAGATTTGTCCAAAGCTGGAGAAGTGATAGACTAGCCACTGGCACTGATTAGTTAATGTGCCCCATTTTATCTTCAAAATTTACTTTGGTGGACGAGGGGGAGCAACTAGATGAAAAAGAAGACTCTTGTTTCAGAACCAGTTAGCTGAATTCTTACACGTCTCTCTTTAATAGAATCCTGGGCAAAAGTTCAAATGTATGCAATGTCCTTGGAAAATGGCATAAAGACATCAGCTTTTTATTGAGAACACTAATTGTTGTAAAAGGCACTTTTGTTGTTTAATACTTAGATGAGTCCTAAGTGTAATTGACCTCAATAACCAAACATGCAACAGGAAACATATTCTGCCTTAATAATCCACTGTTTACATACATAGGAGGGGTCATGCAGATTGTTTTCCCTTTATCCCTGGATTATAGCATTTCCACATGTATTATTTTAGAGAGATATAATTATGTTTATATGAGAATAGTTAATCATTTTATTTATACATGTGCCTGTAATTACAAGTAACCCCATGCTGATGTCAAGAGGATACTCAGTATAAATAAGCAAGTGCTTCCCAGCAAGCTAGTCACTTCCTCAAGAAACTAAAATCTGGGGGAGGAAAGCCCCTATAACAGGTTGTGGGGAAGTTCGATTGGCATGGTAGTTTTTCCATAAAAAAACAGGAGATTTTAACAAACAACAGGGCAAACAGCACAGTACAGTGTACTATTTACTCAATATGGTGTGTGAGTTTTGGGCAAAGCAAGTAATCTCTGAGCATCTCAATTTTCTCATATGAACAATGAGGAGAACACTGCCTATCCCCTAGTTAGCTATAGGAGAGTTTTAAGTATAAATTAGCATCTCCAAAATCACAAGGTAGAAGCTAGAAAGTAATTTACCAGCACAATATTAATCAACCCACACCTCTCCAAGGAGAGTTGTAATCAAATACATGAAAATGTATTTTCTTTTTCTAAAGACATTTTTCAAGATTGTTGCTAGTGGCCAGTGATAGCAACCTCTGAATCCTATGGGACAAGGCATCTAGAAAGTTGTATGGACCATGGATAACAGAAAAAAAAAAAAAAGACATCTACTTTGTTATTTTTCTAATTGGAGTTAAAAAAAAAGACCAAAATTCAAACCCGTATTACATAAGTGAAACCATTTAAACATTCTCACTTTCAACTTTTAACCCACCAAGTGGAGATAATAATAAATGTGATGCAGGTATGTAGTGAGGATTCTGTTTTTAAAATTTAATTTTATTTAAATTCAATTAATTAACATATAGTGTATTATTAGTTTCAGAGGTAGTTCAGTGATTCATCAGTCTTATATAATATCCAGTGCTCATTACATCATGTGCCCTCCTTAATGCCCATCACCCAGGTACCCCATCCCCCCACCCACTTCCCTTCCAGCAACCCTGTTTATTTCCTATAGTTAAGAGTCTCCATAGTGAGGACTCTCTTATGTGAAAGCACACTGAATCATTATAAGTCAATCATTTTAAAAGTAAAAGTAAAAAAACATACCCAATTAACATGCTGTTTGGCTATTTAAAAATAAGTTAATTATTTTGGTTACACTGCTTTTGTGACATAAGTGACTTAGTGCTTTAGCAAAAGATACAAACAACCTTAAGCATACACTGCAGCATTTCCTAAACTGTGGTCTTTGGAATATTAATTTTTTTGTTAAAGAAGTTGTCTCCCTCCCACCTATCTCAAATTTAAAAGGGTTACATGATCAAATGACTTTGAGAAGCCCTAGATTAAACAAAGTGTAACAGATTTTTAAATTTATCCTTTCAGGACTTGCAAGAGATTTTTAACATCCCAAGATTCCTCAAATTCTTTAGAATTTTATGTTTTAAGCACACAAACTTACTTGATTATAAAATCTTCCCCCTCCCCACAATCCCCTCTACACACAGAATTTTTCTAAAACATCTATTAATAGGTCACAAAACCTAGGTTGGGAAACCCTGGACAAATGGCAATGACTTCCATTCCAGAAACATTAAGTATAATATGAAGATTATCAACTCTATTGCTTCAGTGTGGGGAGGATCATTAAGTGACTGTAAACAATAGAAAGCAACAAAATGCTTCCCAAAAAGCTTCCCAAATATATAATAATAACATTATAACCATTTTCCATGGTGTAGAAAAAGAAACAAGCCACAACTGCCAAAAACAGTCTCAAATGGATTATGCTAAGGATCATAACTAATATCAGTTGAACATGTGAACTTTGTAAATACTGTTGAATCCTAAAGTGCAAAGGTCATTCAAAAAGTCTTGACTGGTACACTGGTGAGATCATATTGAGCTAAACGCTGAGTCCCCTAAAAGGGGGACATCTCTATAAAAGATACAATTTATTTTTCTGCATAGCAAATGTCACTACCTATAAATACCGTATTTTTATTTGTCCAGGACAATGAGGAAGGAGCATGAGAAAGATAATGTAATGGAAATGGAGACATCAATGCAGGTAAAATGGGTAGTAAAGCTAAAAATTATCCAATAGATCACTCGTCCTTTATTTTAAAGATATGACAAATCTGAAGCCTAGAAAGGATAAGGTTGGAGAGTCAAAAAAGTGGCAAAGTAGACTACAGATGGTCCCAACTTTTGATGTTTTACCTTTATGATGGTATGAAAGTATGCATTCAGGAAAAATTATACTTCAAAATGTGAATTTGGATCTTTTCCTGGGCTGGCGAGATTCCGTTTAAGGTAGGCTAGACTGAGTGACGATGGCTGGTGGGTTAGGTGCATGAAACTCACTGTCTACTTACGATGGATTAACTGGGATGTGACCTCATCCTAAGTCAAGGAAGATCTCTATGTAATAGTCCTTCTAGCTATACTTCCATTCCAGTGCTCCCTCCAGGAAGCAAATAAGAGCTCTTAAAATGTGAAAGAAAGGAGCCAGTATTGTTTTATTACTCAACAGATAGTCTAGTTTTCCCCTTAGAACCAAAGTCTATTTTTATCAGAGCAAAGGATTAATCCACTGGGTTACATGAAATGCTGTCAATAGTCTGAAACATAGAGCCAAGTAAATAAAACAAAATAAATTCTCATGTGCTGCAATGAGCAAGAACGTATCCCACTCAGTTTGATTTCCTTAGGGACTTCCATGCAATATTTATTCTTATTCAAACTTGACAGATTTCTTTTGATAAGTTTTCACACACTAATTGCTCTGGAAGTGACAGACAGTTCCTGTCCCATTGGCAATTTGTAACAACTCAGTAAACAGATACTTGGAATACAAT